AATGATGGTTACATTAATGAACTGGGATCATGAAAAGAAAGGGGAATGAAAGTGAACGCAAGTAAGACGAAAGTGATGGTTTTTGAAAGAGAAGAAAGCAAAACGGTATGTGAAATAAGAATAGAAGGAGAGTTGATTGAGCAAGTGGATGAGTTTGTGTATTTGGGATGTGTATTTAGCAGGGATGGTAGATATGATAGGGATATAGAACGACGAGTAAATGCAGGGAATAGAGTGAATGGGGCACTACACTCTATTATGAAGAACCAGAATTTGTCAAAACAGGCACGTATGGTAATTCATAATGCTGTGTTAGTCCCTACTTTAATGTATGGTCCCTACTTTAATGTAAGCTGGGTGTGGCAGAAGAAGCACGAAAGTAGAATAAATGCTGTAGAAATGCGGTCTTTAAGGAATATACTAGGGTGTAATCTGAATGACAGGGTGAGAAATTGCGTGATAAGAGATAAATGTGGTGTGCAAGATGATGTTGTGACCAGGATTAAGAAAGGAATGCTTCGGTGGTTTGGTCACGTAGAAAGAATGAATGAGGAAAGAGTGACTAAGCAAATTTATATGGCAGATGTGAATGGCCGAGTCGGGAAGGGACGCCCTAGGAAAAAGTTTATCGACCAAATTGGCGATATTTTGAAAATGGGCCACGTTAGAAGTACCCTTAACCGACGAGCATGTATGCGTAGATATATGGATGTAAAGGAGGCGAAAGAGGTATGTCAGGATCGTGCCAAATGGAAGTCCGTAGTCTCTGCCTACCCCTCTGGGTGACAGGCGTGAGTGTTTATGTTATAAAATATTCATTTAAATGATAGAAACATTTTTCAATTAAATATAACTTCAATTTGGATAAAAATAATATAGTACCTACTCGTTAAATTTTTTATGTCATTTGGAAGGTTATTGAAAATTTTAACTGCCATACAGTAGGGACTAGAGCTATGTAAAGCAAGAGTAGATTTCGGCAATGGTAGCCTATTTTTATTTGGTCTAATTGAGTATTTGTAATTTGTTTCACTTAATTTGGTAAATAGTTCTGGGTGTTTTTTTTACAAATTTGCATGTTTCCCAAATATAAATAGACGTCAAAGTCAAAATTTTAAACTTTTTGAAGTGGGGCTTACAACTTTCTGGAATTTTTATGTTTGCCAAGATTCTTATAATTTTTTTTGCATTATAAATAATTGCTGTGCATCTTTACTATTTCCCCACCTTTCTATGGTGATTGTAGAAGACTTGAGACCAATTTTATTGGTAACGAGATTTTTCATCTTAGACTTCAGGGTTGACATTTCATCTGCATTTTGATTATTTATCGATGATAGGTGTAGATGTAGGTATACATGTCACAGCACCCACTTACCATTCTGTGGACTGTGTGCAAGCTTGTAAGCACGTTGTAAAAAATCGAATTAAAAAGTCATTTAAAAATCTGAAGATAGCCATGGGTAATGACTACATAAATATTATATTAGGTCCTGGATCTCTACATGACCTCATAAAAATTAAGCGTGATGAGACCCATAAGGTTTGTTTTATTTAGTCTGCTGGAAATGATAACTCCTCATTACGAAATTCTCTAGAATATCCAGGAGAGTATTATTATATTTCTGACGCAGTGAATGTAAAAAGATTCTAAACGTATTCAGCACAATATAAATGTTACTCTTTCATTCCACATACGCTTCGAACAACGCTAAACTTACTAAATGTAAGTCTAGTTATTTAGTTGAGATCGTTCGTTTTAGATTTACTGTGAGCGCATATTCCATTACAGTATTATTGGATTTCTCTCGCCCGAAGCTTTATTTTCAGAGCCATATTACTACGTATAAAAAGTCAGTATTAACGGCTCAGTAATTTGGCTACAATGTTCGAATCCCACACAGAACAACTATTTGTGTACAACCTTCAAAAACTCCCAGGTCACCACGAAGTTTGTGCAGGAGTAAGGTTTTTAAAAATATATATCACTAGCATTAATCTATAAAAGCCCTGTAATCTAAGTGTCTAGTTAACCAAGTATTTAAGAACCAAGGGATATGAGAAACCTCAAAGCTTAAACTAATACCAGTATTAGGAGGCTGTAACCACCTGTTGCTTTCAAACTCTTCCAGAGATATCTCTTAGGCCAACACTAAAAGAATAATAAATACTTCTTTTATATTCGCCTTTCTCTTCGTTATTAGCCGTTAATGTCCATTGCTTTATATGGGTTCTTCCATTAAAAGGAAAATTTTCCATAATAGCCTCGTTTTACACAATTGCAATGACTTCTTGCACCTCCAATGCTGTTTCCCGTCACCGTGTCGGTCTAGAAACATGAGTAAAGAAGTCGGTTTCTCTTTCTTTACTCATGTGGTCTGGGTATTTTATATCTAGCGTGAATTTATTTTGTTATAACGCCATCTATCGGAAGCCAGAAGATATGACTACGAGAAAAGTAAGAGATTCTTACATTTCCCATAGTGGCCTTTTTGTAACAAATGCCTCTATTTCATCAATATTTTTCTTACCTTTTTCATAGTCACCTTTTTTTATAGAATAGGGTGACAAACGAGCACACAGTCCACCTGATGGTAAGTGGTTGCTGCGGCCCATAGACATTTACATCTACCCTCGATTACGAATCAAAATGCAGATACGTTGTCACCCGTGAGGACTAAGATGGAATGCCTCGTTTCCAGTAAAAAGGGTCACCGGTTCTTTACACTCACCACACGAAACACAGCAGTATTAAGCTACTATTTTACGCTGGTATTCTGTGAGAGCGTGGTCCTTCCCTGGTCAGGCCGACCCATTCGTGCTACAACTATACTACTAATAAAACTGCAGCATGGCTCTACCACGTATAAAGTTTTAGTTTTTCTTCTTTTGTAATTAATGCCTTTAATCTTATATCTCGCCTCATTTTTATCACAGTATTTCTTATACGTTGCTGTTATGAGCAGAATTGCACTAATTTGCTGTTAAATTAACTAATCATGCGAATATGTGTAATTTAATAATAAGTTGGACGTGACAGCTTAATGCTGCTGTGAGTATAGAGAACCGGAGACCCTTTCATCGAGGCATTCCATCTTATTCCTCAGGGGTAGCAAGGCATCTGCATTGCAGATGATAGATGTAGATGTCCAAGGCCCAAAACATTTATTTACCATCAGGTGGACTGCGTGCTCGTTTGTCACTTTTATTCTATAAAAAATATTTTTGCGTAGGCACGGTTGAACATATATACAAAATCATAAGATTTTGTTCAAAAATCCGTTCAAAGAGAGTACATACATATGAAGGCGATAAATTTCGTTGCGACTATCTGTAAACCGCTCAGTACATTGTAGACAGTAAATTCTACTATCTTGGTGTATGGAAACCCGGAGGGACACTGAACCCAGAAAATAAACTATCTTAATCTTACACATTTCACGACAGCAAACCCCGACCTATGTAACTATATAAGAACTATGTAACTATAACTATGTAACTATATAAGAACGTTTACCATTGATCCTTGTTTCATTTTGATTGATTTTGATTGTCTAAGCCCGCGGATTTTCATGCCCTTCGTGACCCGTTCTGTTCTTGAGAAAAACTGAAATATATATTTATAATTAAAATAATATGAGTAATAAAATAAATATATTTATAATTATATTTACGCGGATGATAAATGTAACTTTTAAAACCCCTTTTTTCATAGGCGGATTTAAACGGATACGTGTGGCGCGTGCCAAATCACCATCATTATGGACCCCACACACGGTCAGTTCAACTGATCATTCCAACAGATCAGTTCAAATTAAAACTGTTGATATTTATTTAGCCTTTTTAAAATAGTGGATTTTCGATATATCGAAAATCCTATGTTTTAAAAATTTTATATATCATTGTTATGGTGGCCACCATAATAATAATAATATATACCTAAAACATAATAATATGAAGATATTTCGTTTCTGTTTTAATTACGTTCTACACATATCATGGTCATAATCGCAAGTCATCAATTACTTATGCAAATGTACTTTCTATATTAGTTATACTTGTATACATTTTTAGACATCAGAAAAACAGGATTTGTGTGACTCATAGCAGAATTAAGCCTAATTTTGTCTAAGTATCTATGTAGTCTGTCACTTTCTTAAATACTGATTTGTTAACATAATGCGTTATTAGTAAATAACATTTTAGATACATTGATATATTAGAAGATATTAATTTGAAACACATTTCTCAAGATATCGACCTGATAAGTACAAGCATCTCGTGTAATGATTCAGTACGCAATCGACTCTATCCGTAGAATTCGAAATAATTTCCTAAATATTGTCCAAGTAGCACATCGATTGTTTTCATTCATTGGTGTTAGGTTATAACGAATACATAGTCTTAGATATTACGGATACTTAGTTTTGGTTATTACGAATAGTTATTTAACCTTTAATTGGATCTTTTATTAATTACCGATAAATACCGGTTCTTAGGTTAACGTAAGTTTCTCATCGTATTTATTGAGCCGGTACACAACCCTAGAAAAGATGTCAAATAACGTCACGGCCTCTCGGTAGAGAGTAATTGTGTTTTGTGGTCACGGCCTTCCTGATATAAAATGTATAGGAAATGTCAGTTAGACGTCAAAACACAAGTGTATAAATTCACTATTAATAATGAATTTTATATTAATAAGCAGTAGATGTTAGTGAAAAATGGAATCAAAACAGAATGCTAAAAAGTTTGAACTTAAGAAAATATTAAAATCGTCAAAATCAAACAAAGATCCATCGATACCAACTACATCAAAAGATGTAGGTCATGTTGTGGTTGATAAGAAAGATATTTCAGAGCCTAAAAAACCTTGGTACAGAAATATTTTTAATTTTATTTATAACAGCAATGACAAAACAATTTGTGGAAGAACATGCAGAAGCTGGATGTGCATTATCACATATTCAATCATGTACTTAATATTTTTAAGTGCGTATACAATGGTGTTTCTATACGCTACCCTAATAATAATTAAGAGATCAGGCGATTATCACCTCATATATAAAACTGAGCTTCTAACGTACTCTGATTATGGTATAGGATTATCTGCTACACCAGCTGGTGTCAACAATTTACCCTTAATCTGGTATAAGGATGGCGATTCAAATGATTATCAAAAATACGTTAACGCAATCGACGAACTTCTATCTGCCAACATAAGAAAACGTGACGCTAAAAACTTTTCTAATTTAGGTCCTTGCGGGCGCTCACCATACGGTTATGGAGATAAACCTTGCGTAATTATAAAAATTAATAAACAGCTTGGATGGTCAGTTAAACCAATGGATTTAAACACTACAAATGTTCAAAATGTAAATTCAACAAATTTTCAAAATGTTCCTGCAAAATTAAAAGAATTATTGAAATTTGAACAAAGAAAACTTTTATTAAATTGTGACGGTTATCACCAATACGATAAGGAGCATGTTGGCAAAATTTCTTACTTTCCAGATCCACCAGGTATTGATGCAAATATATTTCCTTTGGATATGCAAGATAATTCACCGTTAATAGCAATACAAATCTCTCACTTCACGCTTGGTATATCAATAGCAATCGAATGTAAGCTATGGTACGAGGGTGGCCCATCATCAGTTCAATTTTTGCTTTATGTCTCACCAATGACCACTGTTGTATAAATTATAAATAAGCTTATGAATTCAAATAAAGCATAATTAAAAAAAAGTTACTCCAAGATTTTATACTAAATACTTATTTTGTTTATAGTTGATAACTATTTTAAATCTTTTATTATTATTTTTTTAAAGAACGTTACTCCTACACTAAGATTTTCTCTTGTACCGTAGCGGCAGTTTACAAACATAAATTGCACAGGAACAAACATCCAGACCCGGAACAACTATTTGTAGTATCGTATTGGTGATTCAAACCCACGACCCCCAGCGCAGCCACTAATTGCTAAGCCACTGCGCCACGGAGTCGTCAAAATCAAGTAACAAATAGGTAGCACAATCATCAAAATCATCAGCTTGCACCTTATACCGATCTTCCGTTTCACGCTGCCTGTTGCTGTATGTCATCTTGATCATTTTATAATGGCGGCAAACGTCTAATAACTACGTCTCGTTCAGATGACACCTTTTGGTTTTGTTTCTCAGGATACATTTCCAGATTTAATGGCTCTTTTCATCGCTTGGCCCACTTTAAGCTTGTGAGTTTTAACCGCATGAATTTCAAATAGAATACAATATACTTTACACATTAGATTTAAATCTTACTAGTGCTCATATTGTTATTATCACTTGACAGGTGAATTGACAGTCGAAATATGTGTTTTCGTATCTTACTTTGGACGTCGCTACTCGTCGCCAATCTGGGTACTCTACGTCTGGCGTAAATGAAATGGTTACACTGCCCCCTATCGAAAGGAAAAGTTTTCGTGGCATTTTCCATAGGGACGAAATGTAGTGTAGACATTGGATTTTCCTTCACTGTCGCCACATCGCATCTTTATGATTAAACATCGTATGTTAATAGTTTCATTACTACAAGTAGTGGCCTTTTAATTTTTTCTTGGGGAAGTACACATGAGGATGTCTAAAGCTGGAACTTTTCCCCGAGCAGCAGTTAGTGCAGAATGTGTCTTTCAACAAAGACGACAACAACAAATTCAGGAAACTTGGTTCAAACTCATATACGACGTAAAAAATATTACCTGAGCGTAATACAAAATACGTGCATACTCGTAAATTTGTAAGTCAAAAAATTGTAAATATTCATAAAAACACGTCAATTACGAAAACCATCGTAAACATCCTCATCCGCTGAATTAGAAACGCAAGGTATAATTCCGATAAAAGCTTTTATCCGGCGTGATCGGTTGGTAATCCTGATGATAGCTTTGAAATTGATTTTAATGTTTACATATATGCACCTTACATATTTTTACCATCTGTCATACAATATCATTCAATAGTAAAACAGCGTGAAACTATTTAGTCAATAAAACAACTTCCCATTAACAATGTTCAATATTATTTTGATCGGATAGTGTCAGCCTTCTTATTTTCTTCACTGCAGGACGTCTTGTTCATTTCTCACATCGTTACTAGTCAGCTACTTAGTTAGATTAGATAATTCAGAAAACATTCAGAATTAAAATAATGAAAACAATGAGTTGTTGAGTTGTGAGTTGGTCTAGTGGTTGTAGTAGTACGACTTCTGATGATGAGGTCCTGGGTTCGAATCCCTGGTCGAGTCAAAAAATCAATTATTGAGTTTTTCTGTCAAGAAATTCTCAGTGAATACTCAGTGCCCGGAGTTAGGAAGCTGGCGATGTCTAACCCCCGTGCCTCGGAAAGCACGTAAAGCCGTTGGTCCTGCGCCTGATCTCTCTCTCGGTCGTGTCGGTTTACCGTCCCATCGGATTACGAGAGTGAGGGAATAGAGAGTGCACCTGTGCTTGCGCATACACTTGGGCACTATAATCCTGTCCTGCGCCGATGGCTAGCCTCCGTTGAGGCACGCCGCCGTGACCGAAATTCGGTCTGGAGGACATTATTATTATTATTACTCCAAATAACACGATTTAGATGAATGGAGTTAAAGGTGTTCTCTAAAATAGTTCTTTTTTTTTCGGAGATTTTAAACTTTCCTGTTTTTAACTTCATGCTTCGAAAATTAATAATTTTCAAAAATAGGAAATATATATACTCTTCTTGTACATAATGTACGTAACAAGTTTCGACATAAATTGGTTGAGTCCCGAGGTTATCCTGTCGAATAATGTTCGGCCGAATATTCGGTTCGGTAAAAATTTTACCGAACATTCGGCCGAATATTCGGATTCCGAATACGAATATCCCTAATAAGTAATAAGTAATAAGTAGTATTAAATCATGCCTTATTAGTAATACATGGTTGAGCTTTTATTAGCTCAGAAATATAGCAAAAACTATTCCTTGTACAATCTTAACTAAATCCTTGGGTTGTTAAAATAATCTAGGAACTGACACATTGATCCCCTAATTCACAATCATACTAATTACGGCAAAATGGTGGTGTAATTAGGACGATATTGCACAAATCATAAACTTATAATTTCATTGAAAAAAAAATTGTCGTTAATATGATTGTGAACTAGGGGATCGATGTATCAGTTCCTAAATTATTTTTACAACTTAAATATTTAGTTAAGATGGCTCAAAAAATAGTCGAATTGTAGAACTTGTTGCTAGGGGTGGCTAAATTTTAATAGCTTACTGGCGACAAATGTGTGAATCCGCCACTGCAAGCCCGGCTTTTCGGCTTCTATGGAGGCTTTGCCAGAGACAGAGATTTAGAAACAGACGGTCGGCATGTCTCTACCCTTTTGTTATCGATAATTCAAGCATTCTCAAACGCTTTGCGTCTTTCGCAATGCGTACAGCCAAAGGCTTGGAATAATTTGCCGTCGTCTGTCTTTCCGTTCGACTACAATCTGTGTGTCTTCTGCCTAGGCTTATATTTATTTATTTTGGAAGGCTTAGAGTGTAATATCTTCGAATAGTTACAAAATGGTGATAATATTGCTAATTAAAAGCCTGCGATTTAACATCGAAGGCGTATCACTACTAAACGCTAACTGCAAATGTAGTCAGGCTTATAATACATCATTACCATCATCATTATTACCGCCCTTCACAAGTCCACTGCTGTATACACATAGACATAATTCAGAGTCACCTGTAACCATCGATTTCCTGCATGTTTTACCAGGTCGTCATTTCATATAGTGGGGGGACGTCCTACACTTCATTTAAGGTTATGAGACCGCCACTTTTTTTCGCCATCGGTTGTCGGTTCTTCGAACTATATAGCCAGCCTATTGCCACTTCAGCTTACTAACCCGTTATGTTATGTTGGTTACTCTGTTTCTACTGCGGATATCCTCCTTTTTAAGTCGATCGCGTAGAGAAACGCCGAGCATATCCCTCTCCACAGCTCGCTGAGCGATTTATAGCTTCCTTATACGGCCAGCAGTGAAGGACCACGTCTTAGATCCATTGGTTATCACTGGCAGCACGCACTGGTTGTACAATCTTGTTTGAAAGTTTTGTCGTAATCTCCTGAAGCTTATAATACACAGGTGAAATAAAACAGAGTAATCTCAATTTCAATTCTACATCGAGTATACCTGCTGACTTTCCAAGACCAAATGTCCAAGATACATTAACTGCTCTACTCTTTTAACTGGGGTTCCACTCGATTTATATCGGTAGTTTGGTCATGGAGTAATAATGAACGAGGAAAGAGTGACAAAGCAAATTTATGTTGCAGAAGTGACCGGCGTTTTAGGCAAGGCACACCCTACATAAAAGTTTATCGATCAGATTGGCTATATATTGAAGATGGGTGAGACCAAGCGTACCCTTAACTTTCGAGCATGTATGGGTTACATGTTAGGATGCAAAAGAAGCTAAAAAGGTGTGTTATGGTCGTGCCAAGTGGATGTCCGTAGTTTCTACTTAACCCTCAATCTTTTCATGTCTTATCTCTGATTAAAGCCTATGAATCGAAGGGGAAGCTTCTAGGTGAAGCGAATTAACGGAGAAGTTACTCAAGTGAACGCGTATATTTTTTTTATGTATGACCACGCATAACTTTTTACAGAGTAGTCCGTTTTTGATAATTCTTTTTTTATTGGCTAGGATATACCTAGAAATTGGTCTCATATAAATTTGGAAAAAAATTTAGCCTAAGGGTGGAAAAATACGGGTGAATTATTGTTTATGCTGAGTTACATGTTCCTGTTACTACAACATTACATAATAATTACATTACATTACAAAAAAACTTCACGATGAATGAGCTTTAAAACTGTCACTCTCTTGTGTGTAGACCTCTCAGTCTCTGCATTTCTGATAAAGCATCGTGAGGTTTGTGTAATACCTTATTGGCTCTAGATCAGATAAAGCAATACCCTCAAGTGTTTTTACTCTACTCAGTGCCACATATGCCTGCCCTTTGGCAAACACTTTGTTTCCGAGGTCGATTACAGCTTCAAACAAACAATAGTTAAAGTAGGATTACTTATATAATAGTTAATAGCTAAAGTAAGGTAAGTAGCTGTAATAAAAATATCAATTACTTCGCAACCCTCCGCTAATTTTAATTAAAATTGCGAAGTAATTGATATTTTTGTTTTTATTATAATGGATTTCTGCAAAGTAACGCCTGATTCTATCAATTATCGTAAGTTTTTAATTAGTAGATTATAGCCACCAAAATAAACCGCCGAAAAAACTGAAAAGCAAAAAATAATAAACCTTTTTCTTTTATCTTAATAACTAAGTTCTTAAACTAATGTAAACGTACCTAAGTGTATATTTTTGTAATTATTTTCAGTTTTTAATGAACCTTAATAACTAAATTCTTAAACTAATGTAAGTATACCTAAGTAATTTTGAGTCAAGTCAGAAAGATCACCAAATGACCTTAAATTTAAAGAAATAACCGAATCAAATTAACAATGCAACGTAAAATATTCAGCGATAAACATTAACATTTCAAAAATACGAATGCTCACAACAACGTGTACCCTCACGTGTGTACCCATTAGGGTTGCTATCTTGCTGACATTAACTTCGTAAAAGCTCGGCGTTTTCCGACCAAGGTCGTGCTGCGCATCACGCTTTAC